AAGATAGTAAACTAAATGGCCAAAATTGTGAGATGTTTTGAAATTTGAAAGTAGTTGTGTTTGGTGAGCGATATATTAATATATGGGAAAGCATTGGGGCATGACATACAAGGTGATTCACATTAAAATGGGCCAGGGAAGTAAATGGATAATAAAAAAAAAAATTGAAATTATTCAACATTGATTTTATATTATTTGTTTATAAAATTTAATGCGAATTTCTCGTATTTAATATCGAAAAAAAAAAAATCAATCAATTTATTGTATTTACCCACCTATATATTTTCAATATTATACAATTCTTGCAAATGAATCTCTTCAATACCTACTCTTATTAGAAGTTTTTTGTGGTAAGGAAAAAAATTAGGAACAAAATTTGTCTACAGACTTAATTTAGGAAATTCATTAGCAGGGATTCAAAAAAATTTAAATTATAGGTATCTAATTATTTTTCCACTATACTAAATATTATTGATTTTAATATCTGAATTCAAATAGATTTAAATAATAAATATTTAGGATTTTAACTGTTTCTTTTTATTCTGCAGTTTTGATTTTTCTGTTCTGACCTTCTCCGTTGATCACAAGACAAACATCTGACATAACAAATTTCTGTAGAAAGTCTTTAAAAGAAAAAATTTAAGAAAAATTGAAAGAAAAAGTTCTACCTAATCAGAATCCACGTAGCAACAAAAAAAAATCTGACAAAATAAAATTAAAAACAGGAAAAAAATTTCAGATACAGAAAGACTATGAAAAATTAAACGAACATAACATAAAGAAATAATTATTGAGAGATTACAATACTAAACTTAAACTTCTAAAGAAAACTATTGAAAACTATAAAAACATAAAAGCCTCGAAACCAAGTAATTTGAGGAGAAAACACAAATCAGCAAGCTGAGAAACACACAAAGATTTTCAGTAACAAGTCCTAAGAGAAATAGTAGAGGTGGAACAAGATTTGTACAAACAACAGAGCATTGAGGTTTTTGGTAACAAGTCACAAAGAAAGGTGGTACAAGATTTATTTTTACAAACAACTCTTTAGTTCGAAATACCAAGCACAACTAGACAGAGCATTCTTATTATAAGATTGTTAGGAATTTCCAAAATAGACAGCGACGAATTATGTGATTGACTTGAACAAGAATTGAAATAAAATAATTGCCTGGTTAAGGAAAAACTCCAAAATGCAGAGGTCATCTCATTATTCAAAAATAGGCTTACTGGATGCATATACCTACCCCCTGAACAGTCGAGATTCCGGAAGGGTTCTGATAAGCACTTTATCCAGAAAAACTACATCAAGATAGGATTACGCAATGAATTCTAGTTAACAAATAATACGATTTACCTTACCAACTAAAGTCAATGGAAGGCATCATGCTAGACGTTGTGAAATCGAGTGCCAAAACAAGATACCCGAAAAAGCACGGGTATATTAAATACGCTAACACTGCAGGGAAAAACCAACTGGACAAATAAACTTATAGTATGGCCACTAAGAGAGAAGCGTTAGGGAACTCCAAGGCCCGTATTCTTCTAACCATGGAACAGCGTTCTCAAGAGAAAGATTGCTCTGTCTTTGTCAGTATTATGGAAATAACAATATGGGCGACTAAGATAGAGTAATGGTTTCCTTGAGAACGCTGTTCTCCGGTTAAGAGAGTACAGAGAAGATGACATGGCCACATCGTGTATATGAAAAAAGAACTAGATACAGACAGGGCCGTTAACAGAAAAGTGTGGAAAGATTTGGAGGATAAGAAGAAGAGGAAAAAGAAGGACGAGAAAAATGGAACCCAAGATAGGTTGGATTGCAGGGAAACAGGTTCAAAGTTTAGTTTTCTAATTTGTAGATTCATCAATACTTAATTTTGTGCACGGAATACGGACAATCCAATAATTTCAGCGAATCCAACGGATCCATAATAATTTCTAGAGATATACTGGAAAAGACAGAAGAGCATTAAGTAGGTATCTGAAGTAATAAAAATAATGATTAAGAAAAAATCCAGTGTAATACAATTATTGCTATTCATTTATAGTTTACTCCATCTCAAAAATTGAGAACAGAAAATGCAGCACCTAAGTGACAAGGTCATCTGTATGTAGTGCTTTCAAGTAAAACATCAATAATTGGTATATCGAAAAAATTGACTACGAGCTGTACCATCAGAGATTATTTCGCCTGATCCTCCCAGAAATGAGAGATATTCTATTGAGTTTATATTTTCCAACAAGATAGGATAGAGGCCCCTGCATGCAGGTAGAAAATTGATTTTTTTTTCCCGAAAATTGTCCGTTTTCCTGTACATTATTTAATATGGGGTAAATAGGTTCTTTGGTACCTATTGTTTAATAAATTTCAACTAAAATTAGACAGCCGTCAACCAAAATGGTGTCCAACCTCAAATCAGTTTCTACATTCAAATATTCAATTAAAACATTGAAAACAGAAAAACATACGACAGTCTTCATGGAAAAATATGATTAATAGATTCTAATATGTTGTGTGTTACCTACGTGCCTTTTCTATCATTTTTTTTAGAGAAAAATTTCGCTTATTCTTTCAACACAACTTTCTATCCATTTCTTACGGTTCAAATTATCTTCAGATGTTAAAACGTAATTAAATCGTTATAGAAATCATAAGAGCGTATACTTACTTGTCGGAAAATATAGTTATTATTTTTCAAACATAACATACCTAGTTCTGCAACAATTGCAAACAATACGAATTAATACTATTGTTTTTTTTAATTTAATTAATGAAAAGTGCTAACTACGCAACCTCTAGAGAAGATATAGTAAGATATTAAAAGAAAATTATGGTTTTCTTTTGCAACAGGCAAAATTAATTTCAATTAATTTAGAAAATATATGATTCATTGCAAATAGTGCTAAAGCTGAAACCAAACCAGATCTATCATAAGGATTTTGTTAAAAAAATAGCTATTATCCTAACGAGTGCGGGAAGAGAAATTTCCGGCACAAGGGTCCGAAGCGCCCGAGTGCCGGAAATTTCTTCCCGCAAGAGTTAGAAACTATGTTTTTTCTACGAACATACTAAAGCTGATGTTACGAAGAGTTTAATTTATATAAAATGCGATTATGTAGAAGGTAGAATTAAAAATGTATTAAAAGGTATTTATAAAAAAAGGTAAAGGTAAAGGTATCAACAATACAAACAATTCCATGTGACAATGATTATTTCAAACTCTTCCCGCACTGAGTGCGGGAAGAAAGACTTCCCGCACAGCAAATCGTGCGGGAAGAGCCATTTCCCGCACGCTCGTAGAAAATAGTTATTTTCCTAACAAGTGCGCAAAGTGTTACTTTTCCGCACGCAAACACAGTTATACGAACGACGCGAAGCGGAGTTCGGATACGTGTTTGCGTGCGGAAAAGACACTTTGCGCACGTGTTAGGAACAAAATTTTTCCTACGAGCTTCATATCAGGTAGGTAACAACAAAAATTTAAAAAAAAAAACGATAATTTGTTTAATTATTTTTAATTAACTTGAAGGGAACCTATGCATTTATCAAAAAATTACATAACAAAAAAAAAATATAACAGAAAATCATCGTCAGAGCTCTTCATCTTAAAGCGTTTAATGGATATTTCCATTTGTCATCAGTGCCGCACTGAGTGCATCCGCATCTTTTTCTAAAAGCATGTAACATGTAAGGATAAGGATACATTTTTTTGCCCTGTTTCGACAAATGGAAAATGCTATAAATTTGATGAGAAAGTTTGTAGATGCATATATATAGAAAACAAATCTGACAATGTGTTGAAGTTAATTAAATTTGGTGTTTGTAGGTATAGATGTTAGCTGGAACAGGAACAGAGGAAAAATTTGTCATCATGTGTCAAAGTCGACAGGTGTACTTATTGTTGCTTGACAATTATTTTTACTTTTCGGCACTCAGTGCGGATAAGGCCTGTATCCGCACTGAGTGCGGAAAAGTGCAACTTTGAGAACCGAAATGCGTGCGGAAAAGTACTACTTTGCGCACGCTCGTAGAAAAAAAATATTTCGATCCATTTTAAGAACATACTTTGGTATGACAAAGTAGATACTACACCTAACCTTGCGGTGAGTGCTTATTTCCAAAATATTTTGGTTAATTGCTCAGTTATCAAGAAAAATATCAAAATTTCTTCTGACTTCAATCAATATCTATTTATGGAGCTATAACTAAATAATTATTAGGAAAAGGAAAATTGGTGCATTTTATTTGATCTTTCATTGATTTTACAGAGTGCAAAATAAATAAAGTGAATTTTTCTGAAGATATTTTTTTTTGTTTTCTGAAAATGTCAATAACGGAGATTGCAGGAGAACATATAAACAGAAATTGATTAAGTATAAAGAACTTCCTGATGACCAAACTTATTGGAATAGAAGAATTGGCGAAAAAAGGCGTGCAGAAAAATGTATTAACAAAAGTTAGTTATTGAGACACTTAGGTAAACAGTTTCTCAATTAAAGATTCTGAGGTAGGAAACACAACTTTCCCCATTTTATTGACTATTTATTGTTCGAAAAAAAATGGTAGGCAATAGTAATAAATTTCTTCCGGTAAAATTTGCAAGTAACCAAGATATGTATCTTGGAAATAAAAACTCACCCTTGGAACAGGAACAAAATAAATTTTAATCCAATATGAATGGTGTCTATGAATTTGGTAGTAAATTTCGCAAATTGTGCACTTAAGAAAATAGGTGCTTAATAATATTCATTAAAAAACATTAATTTACCACCAGAAACCGCATCATCCATAAACACAAAAACCAAATCCAAAATAAATGATTAATCCACAATGGAAAAACTAAGGGACACACGCGCAATTTTTTTCCAGCAAAACTGACGCTTCTTCTGACAACGGTCAAAAAATAAATAAATAACGCAGGAAAATCGCACTTTCCTTGACGAGCAGCACCAAACAATATAAGCGCTTTTCAATGCGCTTTTCTTTGGACACTTACGAATCTCATGATGGTGTGTGTGGACGTCTACTTCGACGGGTGGCACTGGGTGGGTGAACTGCTGCAGACAGATGCGGGGCATGTTTGTGAAGGAGAGTTATATATATTTGAATTGCAGCCTCGTACTCGAGGCCATTCTACGTCGTACCTGACGCGACCGACGTCCAAGACGCCGGAAGAACAACCCGGGTGCTGTTGCAGGACCACGGTGAAGGTCAGGACCACGTGTGACCACTATTGGAGTGGACGGGTTGGAGATGGTGCAGCTCTAACTAAAACTTCCGGGTTGTAGAACTAGGCCGTATTAAGAAACAAATCGTGCATGATTGATTGGATTTTGCCATTTTTAGGTACATGACATGCAAGCATATACATAGACATTGACAAAGGATAAAATGATTAATAATATCTAGTTGTTTTTTGAATGCAGGAAGTAGGTTTCGGATATTCAATTACAGGTTTACTTTTGAGATAATTAAAAAAATATATAAATTTATAGGCGTAAAGCTTCTCCTATGTTTTGGTTCCACATTCATTCAATTATTGTGAAAACGCAATTCCAAATTTATGTAGGGATTTGAAATTCACCATTATGCCATAAGAATTATAGAATAATTTCAAAGTAAGTAAGTAGGTATCTATAAATAACTCCTTTCTCAAACCAACATGTTTGCTCAAATTAGTTTGTACGTACCGATTTGCGCAATAATTTGTGTGTGAAAGTGGTATGTACAAACATTTTGTTTGTACATACCATATTAACTGGTTCAAGCAAATCTGCTGGGTCTTGATTTTTGGTTTGAGGTTGGTCTGATGGTTTGAATGTGGAAGCGCAAAGTCCAATTCAAAACGAGGTTTCAATTAGCGCCTGCGTATTGACGCTATTTGCACATGTCTACGTTTTGCCTGCTGTGTTCTTTGTTGTTGTATCCAAAATTTATTATAAACGTGTATCGATTAAAATTAGCGATTCTTTTTTAATAACTTACTGCTTTATTACGATGTTGAAGAGAGAAAAACTTCGTTGTTAAAAAAAAATAGCAATAACCGCATAGAGAAAGGAATTTAAAACGAAGTTGATTCAGATTTCTGCTAAAATGTTTGACTGTATGAAAGAACATACTTACGTCTCCAACAAGTTTGAGCAAATCGGTTTGAACAAACATGTTAGTGTGTGAAAGGGACCCTCAACAGATTTAGGCATGCCAGGAAATAAATTTTCGAATGCTATTCACCTAACTAGTGCGGAAAGTGATTCTTTTCTGCACGCGTCTGCCTTTGACCCGAACGACACGAAGCAGAGTTCGGTCATCAGTCGAAGATCATTTTTACAAGGAAAAGAGCTGATGAGATCAAAGAAACAACAAGGAACGGCTTCAGCAAAATTTTCAATTTCAGCGACGGATTCAATCTGTTATCTCTGAAGAACAAACCAGACTCGAGAAAACTCTAGAATGGCATGATAATAAATCCACAAATGCAATGGAGGAAGTACGTTTAGGAAGAGGAAGTGTTCGTCAAGAAGTTTTTCAAGAAGTGGATAGTGCACAGAATAAAATTGAAAAGTTGGGATATGACTTGATCTCAGAAAATGTCTCATGCAACCGTATTGCAGAAATAGTCCAGCAGGCAAGTACTTTCTGCTGAATATTTTGGTATGTCATTTGTGGATAGTCTGTGGAGTAAAATTTGAGTTTTCGTCCTAGAGAAACCTGTGCTAGCTTAGAGGAAGTCGAAAAGCCACGATATTTTCGGACTTTTTCAGTGTTTTGCTTATATTTTCTTAGCCATGCGTTTTAGCGGAATACACCTAGTTATAAAGTTAAAGAACATTAAGTTTCCTTCAAATTTCACTAGTCAAACGTATCATTTAACGCAATAGTAACCGAGATACAGTGGTTCAAAGATAAAGAAAAATTCTCAACTTGTCAAAAATTTCTTCCGCCGGACGATATGTCTACTGTGCACCTGAATTATTTTCCGCGTTAACCGCAACTAAGTCAATTATTCAACATGCTCATACGGTCTTCAATTTTTAGTTCCCATTCATCAGCTTGCTATCTTGCATTTGACATAATCATAAAATCATGTTTGCTACTTCCAGATGCGTCATTTTGACCATAGCATTACGCTTTTCCTGTGTTTACTTGATATGTTTTTGTCTGTACTCTTCAGTAACATCTTCTTCCCATAATAAGCGCTTGTTGAAATCAAATGATAATGTTTTTAACTACAGCCACTTCACGTTCTGCCAAACTGTCTTCGCACATGAAACACCATTCTAACATTATTCAAGATGCCATATCAACTCAGCACCTTAGCGCTACCATGAAAATAATATACGACGAAACTAAACACAAACAGTATATACAGAACGATCGATTCTTGTCAGATAGCCGAGTTTGGCAGGGATGATGTCAAAATCAAAGAAGGTTTATTTTCCAAAAATAATTATTCCAATATAATGCAATAAGAAAATAATCCAGGGTCACGGTTAGTTAGACTTATCGTCTGTGGGTGTACATGGAGGAGACGAGGATAAAATATGTTTATCCCATGATTCCCATGCTTGTTTCAACCTGAGGCCGAGCTGGAAGAAATTTTTGACAAGTTGAGAATTTTTCTGTATCTTTGAACCACTGTAGCTCGGTAACCACTGCGTTAAAGAATACTTTTGACCAGTAAAATTTGAAGGAAATTTAATTTTCTTGAACTATATTAAAAATACACCTATTTATTTCCGCTAAAAACGAATGGTTTAGAAGTTATAAGCAAAAAACTGGAAAAATTCCGAAAATTTCGAGGTTTTTCGGCTACCCCCAAGCTAGCACAGGCTGACAGGGTCATCGAGGTCGAAAACTTAGATTTTACTCCACAGACGACATGTTAAAATATCATCAACTTCGTAATACTTTTGCAGGTACCATCCTTAATTTAATACTTGCCTGCTAGCCTAAAGGTTTATCATCCAAAAATAATTATTGAGATATGATTCAATAAAAAAATAATTTTGTACAGTAACGATGCACGTGAAAGAGATGTTTATCCCATGCTTGGCTTGAATTGTGTTCGGACCAGAAGAAATTTTTGACAAGTTGAGAATTTTTTTGTATCCTTGTTCGTATCTTTGAACCACTGTATTTTGAATTAATTAAATTTTAGATAATCCTTTTGATGAAATTTGAAGGAAGTTTAATTTTCTTCAACTTCATATATAGGTGTATTCTGCTAAAAACGTATGGTTTAGAAGTTATAAGCAAAAAAACGGAAAATGTTCGAAAATAGGTCTTCCGACTTCCCCTCAACTTAGCACAGGGTCCTCGAGACCGAAAACTTAGATTCTACTCCACAGACTATCCATAAAGGACATGCCAAAATATCACTAACTTCGAAATACTTTCCAGCTACCCCCTTCATTTATTACTTGCCTGCTGGCCTAAATCAGCCGGTATTAAAGTTAAACCACCACTATACGACGTTCAAACGTTGTGAGTCATGTAGGTACCTACAGGCGTCGAGCTTTTCGAGAATTTTCCAATGGTTGATGGCTGGAGCTCTGATGACGGCCTACCCAAACCACCTGCGCCAATATAAGAAGAAAAATGAACACGATATAAGAACTTCTAGAAAAAGTACGAAAAGTTGGTGCCAGAAGCATTCGAGGGTACTTGAAACAGGGCACCGAATGTAACCACTGCGAAAGGAGAGGACATTTCAAATGTGCCTGAGATCTTGCTCTCCCTTTGGTCTTCTTCAGCTTTCAATGGGGAAGTTACCACAGTTATCAACCATCATTTTGGTAAGCTGCATAACAATGCAGATGCCTTATCCAGGCAAGCAGGCCCAGTAGAATTCATGCACTGCCTCAGAATTGATCAGTGTGAGAAGATAGCGTCCGATATAAAACAGATGAATGTAGTTCCGAACAACTTAGAAAGCAAACCAGACTAGAGAAAATTTTCACCTAGAGGGTTTGCTTTCAAGGCGTTGTAGTGGGCTCAATGGGACTCTCTGTTAGTCGAAAATAGTAGGTATACTGAAACGAAGCTAGCACAGTGCAGATGGTAAGGTGGTCAAACCTCAAAACGCCGTTGGTCAAACTCAGGATAAAAGTTGTTTTTAGTTTCAGAAGAAGTATATAATGGGATATCCGGAGCTAGTTTGTAATTCAAACAAGACCTTGGATAAGATTCGTGACCAATTTCACTGCGTTAACTTCTACCTGGATGTCAACACGTGATGCCGACAATGTGCAATGTGCGTAGAAAGTCAAGGACTCATAAGATAAATGAAGCAGGACAATATAGGAAAACCCGTCGAACGACTGGCAATAGACGCATCTGATAGATTCCTGGTTGCCACAGATTATTTCAGTAAGCGGCCTGAGGTTTTCGCTCTTTCAAATCAAGACAAAAGTCCTCGTCATCAATGTTTTTACTAGGATTGGAATCCCATTGGAAATCAATGGCGCAACTTTGAGTCACGATTGTTCCCAAAACTTTGAGCAACTATGAAATCAGAGGCATTCACAATCAGATTGCATGATTGAGAGGTTGAACTAGACGATCAAGGATAATGACAAAAGGTTGATCCCCGAAGCTAACACCAGTATGGGATAGGTCAGCTATTCAACACAAGCAAACTTTGCTTTTTTCCATCATGATTTTGCCTTCAATATTATTGACTATGGCCATTGCGAAATTCCGGGTTTAGTGGGTTTACTTAATAGTTTTTATATTAGTTATCTTAGGTTTTTCATATAATGCTGATATATCAAATTACTATGTGGACAATGTGGAGTTAGCGGCTGATATAGCGGTTCTAGGAATTACGCAACGGTGTTGGGTGTCGCACAACCCTCGGACTGAGAGTAGAGGTCATTTTGTGGTTGAACAACATCATATAACAGTGAAAAGTTGGTGTTTCCACAAAGTTTTAAAAATCAACTGAAATATTGCGCAAATTGGTCATCGGCTGGGACTCTTATTGATTTTGTCAAGTTTCTTTCCTATCCTATAGTCGTATTCTTCAAACTCGACAACTCCAGGATCTTTAATCTAAAAGAGCCAAGTCAAGGGATGATGATTTGTGATAAGAACG